CTAAATTGTAATAGAAACAATTATTCATAGGCAGCCTTTCTCCAGAAAGTTTTAGAAGGCTCAAAAGAATTCAAACTAGCAATGTGATTGACACTTGACCAGAAAAGAAGTTTAATAAGTAAAATGGGAACATAGGTGTAAGTAAGATTTGGTCACAGGTTTTTTCTGAGCTTTGTACCGCCAAACAGAAATAGCCAGCACTATTTCCAATTCCTCAGACGAAGCTCAGCGTCCTGGTTTTCAGGTGCCTGTCGACAGAGACAGTATGTTGCAGTAGACAACATTCTAAAGACTCTTTGAGGAACATTCAGAACAGTTCAGAATGTAGAAATGTACCTTAGTGCCAACCGCAAGGTTTAGAACGTTTGAAATTTCCTGTTCGTAACACACACCAGGCAACATCCCTTCTGCACCATCCTTGCTATGTAATCACCCCACTCAGGCTGCAGACCTCTCCTGTTGGGGCATATGCCACCTTCAGAGGCAGTCAGCTCTTGAAATTAAAAGGACTTTCTTGAGTTTTCTCTCATGTCTTCAACCTTTAATTGAAAGCAATACGTCTTTCGCCAAGTTTTATTAAGAACATGAAAACTGTAATAATGTGGGACAGTACACATTCGTTACAAAGCCATTGGTTTTTAGATTGGTTGCTGGGATTATAACCTAAGGTCTGACCATACTTGTCTGTGGCAGTCCTTCAGAGATCTGTGGAATCTACTTGCTCACACAGACCTTCTCTTTTTCAGGTTAAACTTTCTCCTCCTGTGCCACTGTCTATCCTATTTCCTGCCAAGCTTTGAGCCCGTAAAGGATAGGAGCTGTGTTACTCATTTCATCATTGTTCTTGTACCTGGAAATAATAACTTTACCTGGAAATAGTCCCTTCCACACCCCATTCATATTCTCTGGAAGGCATCCATTCTCCCTTCCCGTGAGTGTGCCACCTTAACTAGAAGTGATGTGTCTCAGAGAGCCAGAGGGAAGATCACATCTGATCATCCTAAACTTGTGTCAGCACAGCATGGGATCACCTTAGCTTTTGGTTCACTCTTTGTAGTCTCGCCTAAAGTACTCACCTTTTTTCCTTGTGCGGCTAGGCTGACCTTAACGTGCTGCTAAGCTAACCTGACATTTATTCTGTTTTTGTGTCATTAGAGACAGCTAATTACTTAAGCTTAGTAAGACATTTTTTAATTTCAATTTTATCATCTGCCAAATTCAATGTTTGAGTTATTGTAAGCATTGGCTGTGTTTTGTATATTATTACTTATATCATAGTTAAAGTTTTTGGTTAGGATTGGGTAAAGGTCAGACTCGCATTACATTAGAAACTTCAATAGGTTGATATATTTCATTAGCTATTTATAGATTGTTCAAGTCAGCAATTGCCCTTATTTCAGCCCCATTTCTATGTTAATTATAGTATCATGGGGAACTTCTAATATCGTACATGCCTCACTGGAGTTTGACACAGTGCATTTCCATGGTTACACTGCCAAAAAGAGAAATTAGACCAGCTGAACATGACTTTTCTTTGGTATGCCTCTTTTTGGTTCCCACAAATCACTCTTGGATAACATCCTGTTAAGAATCTTGCCCAAGATCTTGTCTAGCTTTACAGTTTGTAATGTGAAAAGTCTGTCTACCTTTCCATTTTCTAAATATAGCCATGGCATTTTCTTCCTTCCATTTTTCTGCCATGTCTTCTCTTCTCAGTGATTCTCTGGAAAACCCTCAAACTGGTTCAGGAGCCTGCTTGTAAGCTTCTTATGTCTCCAGGCTGTGATCACTCAAATTGGACAAGTGGAGGTCACTGAGGGAAACACCAGGCCCAATTTCTCATTCACTGTTCCTTTTCTTCCTTGCCAATGGGAAGAGTAATGATATTATTCTGTGCCCTCTGAATATTTACCTCTGTATTTGATTAAAAACAGGATTCAACCTGTCTTTAGATTTACTTACTTGATTCCTTCCAACTCATTTAATGAAATACAATTATAAGAACAACAGGAAAAAAGGAATAAGAACCTTAATGGGCTGATCACTTGTCTGTAATGTGGTAGTCCTTCCTTCCACCTCCCTGTTGGTGGTGTTAACTGTATTTGGGGACTATTCTAGGGACTATTCAAGGGGCAAGTGAGTGTCTACTCTCAGTAATGCATGTGAACAGTTGTGTGCACTCTTCACCTCGTTTTCATGATCACTTATGATATATCCTAGTCCTGTGATGGAGAGCTTTAGAGCTTTCAGTGTACAAACATCCTACTACAACACGTCATAGGTTCCCTACCACTGTCCTACTCATTGAGGAATCAAAATAAAACATTACCCCTGCCTATGAAAATTTCCTTTCCTACTGTTTTTTTTTTTTATAACAATACAGAAGATTCCTTTAGAAATCTGTACATTCTTCAAATCTCTTTCTGTTGAATTTAGTGCTGTATCATCATTTTCATCTAGCTGTACTTTGCCTTGGTCTGGTTCATGTTTTGCTGCATCAGCACATGAGGAGCCATACCTGCTTTCTGCCTGTCTCCCTTTATTGTTCTGCATAGCGCGTGGGCACAGTGGGACTCAGAAAATGCTTGTCTCATTTCAGTGGTCATGCAGGTCATCAAATTAATACAGTGAAAGCATGATACAGTGATACAGTTGCAATAATGCAATCCTGTCTTTCTTTAAACAGTATATTTTCCTGTTAGTAAGAATGAATACTTTTCCAAAGACATTTCTGTTTCTCCTTTTTTCTTTTTTCTACTGAACTTTTTCTTCTCACACATTGGTTTCATTTTACACTCTTGACATTTAAAATTTTTGGTTTTTAGCATTATTTGTTTCGCCGTTGCATAGTAACATTTTTCTTCTTTGCAACCATCTGCTAATTTTAAGGTGTGTGATTTTTTTTTTTTCCAGTAACATACAATACTTTTATATCTTTGATCTCCTTAAATGCTAACCTAGGATTATCTGTAGCAGTTTTTTCTTTGTAGACCTCTTGTCTTTAATGAGTGCTTGATAAATATAGAGACAATTTTAGTAGAAGATATTTTTAAGTATGTTTTACATCTCAGTAAACATACAACCTAAATTAAAAAATAAAGATTGCCAGAGGACTATTCCATTTTGTTGTGTAAAAAACCATGAAGGCCATTTTCATTAGTGAGGAAAGTGGACCTGAAAGGAGTGTCAACTTGTCCCAGGGGACCTAAGTTTTTTGGTCTGGCATTTGTTTGTTTTGCTTTTGAGACCCAGGGTCTTGCTATGTAGCCTAAGCAGACCTTGAACTTACTATGTAGCCCAGGCTGGTCTTCAACTCATGGCAATCTTCCTGCCTCCTCTGAGTGCTGGGATTACAGGTGTGTACCATTACACCGAGACAGGGCACCTAGATTTTTATCCTAAACCTACTTACTCCAAGCCTGAAGCTCCTTCTACCATTCCTACTAACAAAGATCTTCCTTCTTGCAGATTAGGGTCCACCTTAGCTGTATGCTCCATGAAACTGGAAGTTAGAGAATTCGCCTGCTAGAGCAGGCATGTGAACTTAGGGGGCTGGAATCATGGAGAAGTGCACAAGTGAAACCATCAGACCCATTCTCTATGCGTATTAAGATGGCAAGACTAAAACTACCATCAGTAGAAACCTGAGACCTAAACCGTCTCCACTAACCTGGAGGTCAGGAGAGTGAGGAATAAGATGGGAGGTCCGGTGGTTTGTGCACCTCTCCTGTATGATTTTGAAAACAGTGACAGGGCAATATTGATATTGGAGGGAATGGGAAAATTCCCATATCAAACTATAGAATTTTAACATAGTACAGTAACAAATTGAAATAAAGTTGACTAATTTTTAGGGAGAACTATGAAGAACATTGAGAAAAATATTCATGGTTTCAAATGTCCCTTTACAAGTGTAGAGTGTGGCACGTGTAAATAATTATGGTCTTAGATATCCTGTGACTTGGTAACATTTGCCAGATGACTGGAATGTGACAGTGAAAGGATGTCATCCTTCATTCATGTATTGATTCATTCAGCAAAGATTAGTAGGGTACCTTTTTCACATGCCAGCCCTAGACTAGCTTCATGGTATGGTATAGGCTATTGTGGTCTCAAGGAGATGGTTGTATTGTAGACATGTAAACAAGATGTTAAAATATTCACAATACTTTAGGTTCTTTTCTTGCTAGTTTTCAAAATTGTAAAAGTCTGTATCAGATCAGTAAATCTCCTTGCAAAAAGTGTTATCTTAGATAATTGAGATACATAGTTTCCTGCTAAGAACTTGTTCTGTCTCAAGCTGTGGACCGGAAAAGTAGATCTCATCTCCCTAGCCATTGTCATCTATGGATGGTCATATGCTGCTAAGGAAACCTAGTTAGCCATGGGACCCCAAGGGTACCCATGTTGCTAGTTACTAAGGTATTGCATGTCTTTTAAGTACTGCAGAATTCTGTGTGCTTATTAAGCCTTTCTTGAGTTTTAATCTTTTTCTTTTGCTATTGTGCAAGCTGCTTGTTATTAATAAAGCATTTTTTCTTCTGTTAATTGATGTTTGTGCGTGTCTTTTTTGTGTACATCTGAAAACTGGTTCATGTAACAACTTAGAGTGTTTACTATTTAGTATCCTGATAAGTTACTCATATTTATTTATTGGTTATCAGTTTAGGAAATTTATTTAACCCAATTCTGGCAGCCTATTAGTTAGTATTCTTTGAATGAAGATCCCTCATCTCAAACATGTTTAGTGTCATTTGCTACCATGATATTGTTTAATATTGCCAAAGTATTTTTTATTTCACTGTTATTTTATTCTTTTTAGTTTTTGTAATACTAGCCATCCTTTTGGCCCTAGATGTTGCCTTTCAAAAATCAAACAGCTGTAAGGAGTTGTGATCACTCCCATTGAAGTCTACTGTAGTTCTGGGAGTCCTTTGCAAATCTCCAGCCTCTACAGGAGCTCAGGAGAAAGTATTAACTCTTTGCCTGCTTGATTGCAGGAGGAATGCCAGCTCCTGAGCAAGCCTCACTGGTGGAGGAGGGGCAGCTACAGACCCACCAGGAAGCTACCTCCACTGGCCCAGGCATGGAGCCCGAGACCACAGCCACCACTATTCTAGCTTCCGTGAAGGAGCAGGTACATCCTTTCATTGAAATTTACAATGAATTATTTCTTCAATGACTTTAAAAATTAATCTTTGGATGTGTTTTAAATTTGTCTAACGCCCTTGACGCCTTCACATTTTCTAATTATAAGGTGTTTACATCCCTGAGTACATTGGGATGACTGGCATGTAGAGCTGCTCCAGGTGCAGTCAGAATCGGAACATGCAGGATACTTGTGCGTCTGCAAGTAAGGACAATATCGGTGATGATCGGTGTCTGTCTCCCCCACATTGCAGAGTGTGTGCATGCACGCAAGCTTGTAAAGCGTATTTCACAATGCTGACTTTTCTGCCAGGGCTCTGGCAACCTGAGAGCTGCAGTAGCCATAGGTATTTTGAGCATTTTAATCATAGGTATTAGGGTTGTCTCTGTCCACTTTTGGATAAAAGCTGCATTTGTGTGTCTGTCTGAATCCAACAGTATTCATTTTGTGAGCTAATGTTCTAAAACTTGTCAAACTGTGCCGGTTTGCTTCAGTGGCATGTTCATGTTTATTTTTAAGGCATTAATACCCTTTAAATCTAAGTAACCTTCTGCATTAGCGCTTCTCTGTGGTGCTTAGAGAAATTGTAATTCTAGAATTTAATTTCAAGTTTAAAAGCTTAATAAGGTAACTTCAAGTAAATTTAAACCTCTACTGATAGTTTTAATCTAAAAAATTATGTCTTTTGTGAAAGTTATTCAGCAGAAGGAATCTAATTTTTTTTTAAAAATCTTATTGTTAAATAAATAGGTGTCTATCTCAAGAAAGATGAAATAAATGTTGCATAGTATCTGTGATATTCTTTTAAATTAGTTTCAGCAGGTAAAATGACTAGAGATGACAATGGCAAAGAAATATTTAGTACTTTATTATTTTACCATAACTTAAACTAGAAAAATGGCATGAAAAGGTTCTTCCATACCTATTTCATACACCTGACATTAGAGCTGTTTTTTAAGAAAAATTATTTCACAACTTATTCTAGTAGCAAAATGCAAAATATTTTGTTTCTCACTGGAATTTGAAGTTTTTAAATATTGCACAGACTGAGAATTTAAGACAAAAAGCTGAAAGTCAATATGAATTTCATCTTTCACCAAACTATGGAATGTCTAAGCTTCTATCACTGCTAGGAAAGAACTTGGACCCAAGGAGCTATAGTATGAATACACTCTGATTTACTTGAGACTCTTAGTATAAACTGTGTTTTGATGAAATATGATGGTAAATGTATCAAAATGCCCAGATAAAACTAGAAACCATGTAAGTAAATATAGCAAAGGGGACTCTGTACCTTGAGACCAGATACTCTATGTGTTGAAGAAAATGTGAACACTTGTTACAATTTTTGGAACAGTAATTCCTTGATGGCTTCAGGTGACTTTAAATTTTTATCTTTGGAAATAAACAGTGTTTGAATGAATATTTTGTGGGAGATAATAAGAAAGATTCCAATTTCTCCATGTAGCAATCATCATATAGGCATTTGTGTTGTTTAACTACAAAGATTGCCCAGGTGTGCTCTGGCTTTGCCTCTGTTCCTGTGCTGAGAAGTTTGAGTCCTTTACTGCACATTTGCAGTTTCCATATTTAAGTTCTTTAAAAAGTTTTCAGCACTTACTAGGCGTGGTAGTACATGTCTGTAATTCCAGCACTTTGGGAGGCTGAGGCAGGAGGATTACTGAGAGTATGGGACCAGCCTGGGCTATGTAATGAGTTCAAGGCCAGCCTGAACTACAGAACAAGACACTGTCTCAAAAGAAAAAAAAATGTCGGTGCTTGATACTTAGCACTTTAATCTTTCAATCCAGAACGCCATGTCTATCTCTTGTTCAAAGATACATGCCTAGTTTTACATAACTAACCCCAGCCCCCATAGAATTTTTGTGATACGAAACAACATATACTACAGTTGGAATGGGATAGAGCACTGACATATGCTAGATGTGAATCAGAAAGCTAATTACTGTTAACCTTATGTTTGCTGTTAAAATACTACTTAGAGTGACACTCTTGGCCTACATTTTATATTCATACAATAGTTAATGTTGGTAATGTGGTATATCCAAAGAGCAATACTCTTAGCTGAAATGTGTAGTTGCTTAAAAAAGTAAGAAGCTTTACCACCCTGCCACATTGATAGCCATGAAGTGTTGGTATCAGCTGCGCTGATCCCAGCATAGTCCTGATTTGGCAGCAGCACTAGGTCTAGGTGTTCACTGGGAGGCTGAAGAAAGAGACCCCTCAGTGAAAGTAGGTAGAATGCCTCATTTTCTATCCTTGTTTCTCTGCTTAATGTGTGATTTGGAAAATTTCTTAGCCTCTCTGTGCCTCAGTCTCCTCAGTTTTAAAATGAGAATAATAACAATTATGAGAGCATTAAATTAGTATGTAAAATGCTTACAAACAGTACCTCACAATAATAACTAATATTGCTATGATTGTCATCATCTATATAAGAAAAGCCTCTTCTAGGAAGGGCTGATAGTTCTACCTTTAAGTATATGTAGGAGTTCACTGGTTAGGCTGTGATAGTATTTTATTTAAGCACAATAACAAATTTTCAAAACTTCATCTTCTTCACCTTACAAATTAAAAGTTTTATATGTATATAATGAAAAACAGAACAAGTGAAAATAAATTTTATTAACATGCTCAAGGCACTTGGTTAAAAGAGTTGCAAAATAAAATCTTTTAGCACTTACCTGAACATTGTAGGAAAATTCGGGTCTCTTCTGTAAAGTGCCAGATCTGGTAAGTAATATAGAAGCCTTATACAAGCCAGTATAAATGACATTACATGTGTGAGTTGTGATTGAAATATATATGAGATGAATGTTTAAATTTAAAGGAAAAGTTATTACAGTAAAAGACACATTACCATCAATCCCTTTCATAATACTCCCCTATGCTTCAAACACACATATCCCATCATTCTTGCCACTTTTTGCGGCAGCTCTGTACAGTAAATCCTCTTTCATGAGTGTCTTTAAGAAGTGTGATTTTAAGCAAAATGGTGAATGTTGCTGCTGAGTCCCATTCAGCAGAAAGGCAGGTTTATCAAAACATTATGGTGTGTCCTCCTGTACCTTATTTACCAGATCTGGCACCAAGGGACTTCTCACTCTTCTCCAAAGTCAAAATGACCGTGAAAGGTAAATATTTTGAATCAGTTTCCAACATCTACAACAGTGTAACTAAAGACACAAAAGAGCACTTTCAGAACTGCTTTAGAATGTGGAAGAAGGATGAGCTGTGTATTCAGTGTGAGAGGGGATATTTTGAGAGGATTAATGGCAATGTGTCTTTTACTGTAATAATTTTTTTTTCTAAATTGAAGTGTTCACCATATTTTTGCTCACACCTTATACTCCCTCTGGGTAATTCATGGGAGTGGTAAGGAGGGAAGTGGCAAGCAACCAGTAGCCAACATGTGAATAAACCATTAGTCTGTTAAATATCTGGTATTGGGTTTAAGGTGTCATAAAAACAGTGAAGTGTGTGTTTCTAGTAGCTTTGCCTCACCTTGGGGCATCCTGCAAGAAGCTATTTCTGGTCCTTGGCATATGTTGGAATTAACATGGTCCTTCTAATGAAGTACAAGCCTTTCACACTGTTGTTCACATAGATGCATACATGTGCAGGTATAGAAAAAAGTCCTCACAGATAGAAAGAGTCCACTTCTGGTCAAAGGCTACCTCTTTCATGAAGCTATGTTCATGTTAGCTTAAAGTCACATCTCTCCTGATTTCCTGTAGCACTGTATTCTACTTCTGTGACTTACTTGTGCGCTTCTTTCAATGTATGTACTTGGCTAAGGACAGAGCAGTGTTTTATACATATGTTGTAGGTTTTTCTTCTCCCAGCACTTTGGATATATTTGTTCTTCAGTATTTGACTGATCAAAGGAGAAATGGATAAGTAATGCTATCACAGTGGCTTGTCTCCAGCTTGCTGTTTTGTAAAATGGAACTTTTAGGCACAAGCACAGAAACATCATGAGCAAGAAAGTATCACAGACAGCACCTTGATAACTTGTTATCTGCCTTTATGTTCTTGTTCTTGTTCTTATGACAAATTTAAATTACACAATATCCATACTGATCTAAGAACTAAATTGAATCTGTGCATGGACTAAAGTAAAATTTTATTTCATACTGATCCTCAGATAATGATATAGTATGTAACTTTAATCTCCCACCTGTCCAAGTTCACTAACAGTTAAGTGCAGGGAATAAAAGGATATGATTATAATGGTGATGTCCTCCAGTGTCTTGTGTAGGAAGTGACATAGGTAGCTCCTAAATAAATGTTAAAGATCTTGCTTTAAAAGAAAAAGTCAATCTATGGAAATAACAACAAAGTAAGAGGATCCTTGGAGTTAAATCTGAAATTATAAAAAGTGGCCAGTGAACTCGAGCCACCAGCTGGTTGTAATTAGGATCATCATTCGACAACTTCAGCTTGGTTGCTCAAGTCCTAATAAGAATCTAGAGGGGCTGGGGATTTAGCTCAGCAGCACAGCACCTGCCTGGCAAGCGCAAGGTTGTGAGTTTGATTCCTGGTACCGAAAAAAAACAAACAAACAACAACAACAACACAAGAATCCAGGAATTGTGGTGGCACATGTCTGTAATCTGCAGGCTGAGATGAGGATCATGAATTTGAGGTCAGCCTGGACAACTGGGCAAGATCCTCTCACAAGATAAAAATTAAAAAATAGACATAGAGCTGAGAATGTAGCTCAGTGCTCCCTGAGTTCAGTCCCCAGGAGTCCGAGGTGAATATTGGAAAAGAGGAATGTTTTGTATTCGGATGCTTTCCAGATGTCTAGAAAACTTGATACTGTTGAATGCTTAGCTTAATATCATACATGCAGTAATTATGTAAAATCATGCATGCAAAAGTGGTGCTTTCAAAGGGCCCTGACTCCTACAGTGAAAACCTTAGATTAAAATGATTGAAATGCACACCTTTGGCTCCAGAGG